AAAATATTTTGTGAACAAGGTCCAAATCAACGTTTTTACACGTGGAAAAAGTTTAGTGGTATGATATATTGATGTGTAAGAGGCCATTTACCAAACACTTATTAGATAACCGCTTATTAGGTGTTGGTTGTCTTAGTTGGTGGCCTGACAAATACCAATAATCTTACCCGATAAAAAACATAGCAATGATCGATAATCTTATCCGGTAAGTAAGAGATAAAACTCTTATTTACTAATAAGACCGATAACTGATAAGCACTTACTCAATAAGCAATCAGTAAACGATCCCTAAGTCATATATTCTTTTCATATGGAGTAGACGAGGCTTGCTACTTAAATATTCAATTATAATCACTTAAAAAAAAACTCCCTTTTAAGAAAAAAGAAACCCTAATAAACAAATATAAAAAAGGTGTCCAAATTGGAAATTCATATCATATATCACTATCTTTTATGACAATCTGACACGTTAAAATTAAAATGTTTCAATCTGATTATCGAATTGTACCTTTTATATGGTGTAGTCCACTTTAGCTTTAATACTGAAAAAACGTTATGCATGCTTTAAAGGGGTTGGGTTTTCAGTTATTGTGAGACCACCGGTTTTCAAAAGATCATGTAATCGCTGTGAATGTTCGGTGTGTACTTCGTGTGAAGGTTTACTGTGTTTTCATGTGAAAGTTCGGTCTTATAAAGATTCGGTATTTTATTGTGTAGGTTCAACAAGATCAACTCGTTTAAGGGCTATTAAAACTGCATGATCTCACATAATCTCAAGTCTATTTTAATGGACGTAGCTTTTTCTTCATGATGTTAATGATATCTATGAGTCTTCAATTATTGTTGGTTAAGATTCATTATCAAATGGAATTTATTCAATCGATATCGGATCTTTATAGCTACATGTCAGATGTGCCTTGTACTTCATACAACTTTTGTTGATTCTTTTTACCATACCTTAGGGTTGGATCTATGTATGTCCGAGTGGGCTTCTGTACATCTGCTCAACTTATTTTGGCAAGAAGGATTTTTTTGAGGTATAAAATGTGCAACTGCTAAATTTTTAGGGGCGTTATGGGATATCGAAAATTACAACGAACATCAACAAAAATCGAAAAAGTACCTCAAAATCAACCAAAAACCCGAAAAGTCTATCGAAATCAACAAAAATAAAAACTTTGAAAATCTTTCGAAACAGTAAAATCCAACTAAAACGTATCGTACGACTTTACGGGTCGTTAATCTACCTTAAAGATGTCCCTATTCATAAAAAATATAGATCTGTCACTACCATAACTGTATTTTTTGTGTGCAAAAACGTGATAGTAATCTTGAATTATAAATTATTAACAATCAGTAATTTTTATAAAACAATCAATAAATATTTACTGAACGGTTAAATGTAATTATTAAAGTTTGATATATGTTAGGTTTTAAGGGGGTGTTTGTGATTGCTTATAAAAACAACTTATTAACTTATTCTGGTGTGACACCGGTAATAAACACTTTTCAGTGTTTGGATAAACAACTTATACCGGTGTCAAACCGGTAATAAAGAGTTTTTAAAAAAGTTAAATTATTGTAACTTATAATAAGTTGATAAAGACTTTTATAAAAAAACATAAGTTGTTTCAGATAAGCAATCCCAAACACCCCTAAATTAATAATGAAATATGGTGGACAATAACAACATACATATATTCACATGTGAAAAAGAGACGTGAAACGTGACTTCCATTTGGAAATTGATCCACTTATTTTGAAGGAGAAGGTAATCCACTTGTAATCCACTTATTAAATATACTTATTATTAAATATATTTAAAAACAAAAACCCTCCATTTTTATAGTATTTTTCCCATCATATATTTGGATTTTGGAATCTTTTGTGTATCATTTTTTATTAATGTTTTTTAATCTCAAGTTTTTATTCCATAATTTAATTATATTTTCACTTTTTGGTTTGTTAAAAATTTATGGGTGTTTGGGATTGCTCATTTAAAACAACTTATGTTTTTTTTTTATAAAAATGCTTATTAACTTATGTGGTATCAAATCAGAGTTTTGTAAAAAGTGTTTGAATTAGCTTATAGCGGTACCAAAAAGCAATAAACTGATAATTTATTTTTTAGTGTTTGACAAATTTTGTTTATATATGTAAAAATGACCAAAAAAGACAGTCTTCCATATTATTGACTTATGAGAGTGTTTATGATTGCTTATTAACTTATTTGAATTTTTAACATGTAAAAATTTATTTTTCATCATTTATAATAATATTTTTGACAAAAATTTATATCAATAAGATTAATAATTAACAAACATTAATAAAACATGGTTAAAATGGTAAACTGGTAATAAACAGTTTTTCATAAGTCATGAAAGATTAACTTATCAAAAACTGCTTATTACCGGTTTGACACCGGTATAAACAATTTTTTTTTTCTTCATCCAAACACTAACACTTAGCTTATCACCGGTGTCAGACTGAAATAAGTAAAAAAAAAACACCTAAAATAAGCAATCCCAAACACCCCCTTAGATTTTTATCTTTGTATCTTGAAATTATGATTTTTTGGTAGTTTGTAATTGATTGTTATTTTTATCCCTCAAGTTGTTAATAGTTTACCGTAAAGTATGTAGAAAAAAATGAAATATAAATTATAGAGACGAAAAAACCGAAGAAATGTAAACCACAAGGACAAAAGGTAATAAATTGTAAATCAGAGCCATAACTTTAAAAGTATAAAGACAAAAACACCAAATTTCAGCAAACTATGTGGACAAAATAATTTACCCAAGATAAAAAAGACTGATCCGACTTGTGGCGTAGAATTATCAGTAGAAATAGAGTGTGGGGGCCAATCTTGTTTGGTTTTATATGATGTCGGCGTCAGGATCAATTGAAAACGACAAAAAAAGAAGAGAATTCGAATCATACTATGATTGGTTTTTTAAACTATCATGTTGTCTTAACAAATATATTTGTGCGATGCAAGTAAAATGAAAGATTTTATTGTAAATCGATAATAAGATTTTAATACGAATATTAAAAAATAAAAATAAAAATTTATGTTAAAAATGTAAATAAAAATTATAAGTAATGATCAAATAAATGTTGATAATTTAAAGATGCAGTAAACATGTTTATCAGTAAATACATTAATTTTCAATGAATTCAGACAATTCCTGATTACCTAAGAATTAATCAATATACGTATCTATCAAATACAAAAGTTTAAATAAACAATACATAAATATTTAGTGAGTTATTTTTCAAACCTTTACCTAATGTTTTATAATATATAATATAGAATTATAGATATTGGTCCACTTTGTTTTTAGAAGCTTTGGCCAAATGGAGAAACAACCTGAAAATGACCTTTTTAATGAAAAATTAAAAGAACGTGCCTAAAACGAGAAAACGTTAAAAGTAGAGGGGGTAAAAATATCAAGTTACCAAAGTTTAACCATAAAAAGCCAACCGCTTGTCGATACTATCAGGCACTCAGCTGACGTGTGCGATGACGACATCCGCCTCCAAAACGAAACAAACTCCACCTCCTCCGCCACCCATTTTTTTTTCAGTTGCAATCCAGCTTTTTTGCACATAACCCCTTCTACAATTTAATATAATCACTTTACCCCCTTTACTATCCCTCCACCACCGCTTTACCCCCTTTACTATCCTTATAGAGGAGTGCTTTCTCTATGAATTGTGCAGCAAGAGATCCTTGCTTTCATTGCTAACTACATTACGAACATCTTCAATAGATTTTTTTAAAATAAAAAAAATAAAAATTTTGGGTAATTTTTTGTTTCAACAGATTCCTAAAATTTTCTACAAAATAGATAAAGCAGGAGAGAGAGTGTAAAAAATTCTCCAAATACGATTATCATGCAAGAAACTATTTTTAATTATATTTCCACCAATAAGCAACATGGGGGTTAAATGTTTATGAGAGAGAAACAATCTATACTATATTATAAAAATTTGATAAAAACTCTTAAAATCATTTTTTATACATGAAGTATTGTTTATTGTTTCGTATTACTTAAAATTCAAGATTATAAGTAAATTGTGCATAAGTACAACTTATTAAAGTTCAATACTTGAATTCGTGTAACTAACTGTAGATAAACATAATCAAATAAATGATAAAATTTCATTTTAAATATAAAAAATGTAAAATATAATTAAGATAATTAATGTGTTATAACATAATACTTAATTATTATATTTATAAAAAAATATATTATTAAATCAAAAATTAATTAATTCGTTATTAAACCTAAATTATATTATAAAAAATTGAATTAAAAAAATTACACAAAAAACAAGAACTTTTAAATAGTTAATTTGATATCAATATCGATATATATATTTTCAAAATTTTATGATATCTTCAAAATTATATTTTATTCAAAAATAAAAACATTATCTTTTTCTTAAAACAACATAAAACCGTATTATATGAGACAGAATAAAACAAAACATTAAAATCCATATTATCTTGTTGTATTGCACGAGTACCATTCTAATATATTTATTACATGTTTTAATAATAGAATCAATGTTGTAATATTCAAAATAAAAAATTTGTTAAAGTTGGATATAATTTTCTATAAAGTTGTAAGTTTTAATTTTCTATTTTAATTTTTTTTTAAAGAATCTGTTAAAAATATTAAAGCTCTAAATTGTTATTTGAGAATGCTTTTCCATGCCTTTTTCACATGTCATGTGTGTGCAAGGGGTTGATGACCCAAAACCTGGTTTCTTTGACTCGGTAATCTTTTGTTTTTTGAAATACAATTGAATGGCAAGTACAGAGGTCCATGTGTCATTTTTCATTCTATATGGGGTCCTTTGTAAAAGTGTATATAGTGTAGGGGTATTTTGTGCAACAACACGAACACACAATTCTTAATCTCTTATATATGCATAGCATCTGCATATTCGTAATCTTCTATCTGCAAAAGTGACGGAAGCAATTTTCATGGAGGAAAATTGAACCATTTCTTTTATAATATATTTAATTACTGATCCTTTTAAAACCCTAGATCATACGCGATACGACATTTAGCATCAGTTTTTCTTGACCAGTATCTGCTTCCGAACATTTAATTTGTAAGCATGGAGCTCTTCTTCATCACTACTTCTCTTCTAAATTCAATGGCTGTTTTCCCCCCCTAAAATCAATAGAAAATACTCGTTATTTCATTTCGTTAAATTACTCGAACTTGTTTTAATGTCGCCAGTGTTTTTGTTTTCTGGGTGGCTTTTAATTTTATGATTAGAATCGTTGCATCGCCCACAGATTAACGTCTTCCGTAAAATGATATCGTTTATCTTCTTTTCTGTTATACATTTTTGTATTATCTATTCAGCTGATCATGTGGTTTCTGATTATGCCTTTTTCTTTGCATGTTTGTACCAATAGAAACACAATTCCTTTTTATCAATATATTTTAGGGAAAGTTGAAGTTTGATTTGTGTTTTTGTTTACTGGGTATTGTTTTCAGGGGAGATAAGTGTAGCTTTGTGAGAAAAAAAAGGGAAAAAAACAAAGAAGGAAAAGGAAACAGAAAGAAACTTGGGGTTGTTGTTGCTACCCCTTTGCCAATATCGAGGTATGTTTGTTTTTGCTGTCATTCTCATTGTCTTCCAAAACCAGCTTTCTGAAACTTGAGTTTTCAAATAAGATAAAAGGGGGATGATTTCAAAGAAGAACCTCCATTTAATGACAAATACAGTAACTATTTGTATCTTTCAATCTACCATTGTTTATTATTATGATATTGTTTTCTTCTTTATTATCTAATGGTAAAATTATCATAATTATGCAACAGTAAGGTCTTATGAGCTCTTTATAATCTACCGTTTATTTCGCATTTTTCCAGTTTTGGGAGGGCAAAGAGGGTAGTGAAAAGCAGAGATGGCTGATCTATGGAGTTCGTTTTGTGGGTGTTCAGATGGCAGTGACAAGAATTGTGATTCAGATTTGGTTTTTATCACAAATCCTTCTTCGTGCATGAATCATATTTTGATCATTTGTTTCGATTTATTGCTCCTCGGAATGTTACTTCTCAACCTGTTTTACAAGTCACCATTGAAACCCGGTAATAGGAAATCACGTTTGCAGTTAGTTTCTGCAGTCTTTAATGGTTTACTGGGTACTTTGTACTCATGTGTGGGCTTTTGGACATTGAAGACCACAATAAGCACAACCCACACTGTTCTTCCTTTGCATGAATGGCTACTATTCTTGTTTCATGGACTAACATGGTTAGCAGTCTCACTAACTGTGAGTCTCTGGGGAAAGAATTTCGCAAAAACCCCGGTTCAGCTTATGTCAATAGTTGCTTTTCTATTTGCTGGGATCTTTGGCATCTTATCTTTTATATATTCCATTCTCAACAAAAGGGTGTCAATCAAGATAGCTTTGGATGCATTGTCTTTCCTAGGAGCAACATTGCTATTATCATGCACTTATAAGGGCTACAAATATGAAGAAACGGATGAAAAAGGTCTTTATACCCCCTTGAATGGCGAGACTAAAGGCATCAAAGAAGGTTATGATGACAATCTTACCCCACTTGCCAAAGCTGGGTTTCTCAATGTAATGTCGTTTTGGTGGTTGAATCCATTGATGAAACTGGGTAGTGAGAAAACCCTCCAAGAAAAAGATATGCCCAAGTTGTGCATTGAAGATAGAGCGGAATCGTGTTATTTGACTTTTTTGGACCAATTAAATAAGCAAAAACATTTGCATTCGTCGTCTCAGCCATCGACTCTAAGGACAATAGTGATGTGCAATTTGAAAGAGCTTCTAATATCTGGATTCTTTGCATTGATGAAAATAATTACAGTTTCTGCCGGCCCTCTTTTTCTTAAGTCTTTCATCAGGGTTGCCGAAGGTAATGATAGTTTTAGCGGCGAAGGTTATGTGTTAGCTTTAGGACTTTTCTTTTCTAAGATCTTGGAGTCCTTATCACAAAGGCAATGGGACTTTAGGTGTAGACTTATTGGCATAAGAGTTAGATCCTTGCTTACAGCAGCCATATATAAGAAACAATTGAACTTATCTAATGCTGCCAAGATTACACATTCGGCTGGTGAGATTATGAACTATGCCACTGTGGATGCTTATAGAATAGGGGAGCTTCCTAATTGGATCCATCAGAGTTGGACAACCATTCTCCAGCTTATCTTCGCTCTAGCTATTCTTTTCCAAGCTGTAGGTTTGGCTACATTTGCATCTTTGGGGGTCATAATATTTACGGTCATTTGCAACGCCCCACTTGCTAAATTACAGCATCAGTTCCAATCTAAGCTAATGATTGCACAAGATGAGAGGCTTAAAGCAATCTCAGAGGCTCTTGTGAATATGAAGGTGTTAAAACTTTATGCATGGGAAATTCATTTTAAGGGTGTGATTGAAAAGTTGAGGACAGTGGAAGATAAGTGGTTGTCAGCTGTTCAGCTTCGTAGAGCTTATAATAGCTTTCTTTTCTGGTCGTCTCCTCTTTTGGTCTCAACTGCTACTTTTGGGGCCTGCTACTTTATTGGGATTCCTTTGAATGCTAGCAACGTTTTCACATTTGTAGCAACTTTACGTCTGGTTCAAGACCCTATTAGAACTATCCCTGATGTTATCGGGTTTATCATTCAAGCAAAAGTGGCTTTTTCCAGAATCTTGAATTTTCTTGAGGCACCTGAGCTGGAGAGTGCTCATGTGAGGCAGAAGGTGAACAAGGCCGGTCTGGATTATAACATCTTGATTGAGTCTGCGAGTCTTTCATGGGAAGAGAACCTAGTGAAGCCTACTCTACGAAAGATAAACTTACGGGCCAGATTGGGCGAAAAGATTGCTATTTGTGGAGAGGTTGGCTCAGGCAAGTCAACCCTTTTAGCAGGAATTCTTGGAGAGGTTCCAATAATCGAGGGAACTGTAAGTAGTTCCTGAGTACCCTTTTCGCATACTAGACCTTTCAAGAATTTCAAGTTCTTATTTTTAATCATTAATCTTGTTTTAATTTGCCTGCATTTGTCAGCTTCAAGTATATGGGAGCATTGCGTATGTTTCTCAGTCAGCTTGGATTCAAACGGGTAGTATTCGGGATAATATTTTGTTTGGATCTGCTATGGATGAACAGAGATACCAAGAAACAATAGAGAAGTGTTCTTTGGTGAAGGATCTTGAGCTGCTAATGTATGGTGATCTCACCGAGATAGGAGAGAGAGGAGTTAATCTCAGCGGTGGACAGAAGCAAAGGATTCAACTCGCTCGTGCTTTATATCAGGATGCTGATATCTATCTCTTGGATGATCCTTTCAGTGCCGTGGATGCACACACTGCTTCGAGCTTATTTAATGTAAACTAATTGAACTCGCCTAAATTTAGTTCATAGTTTCTAGTTTGTGATGTCTAAATGGTAAACATGCTTGAAATTTTGCAGGAATTTGTTATGGAAGCTCTTTCCAGGAAGACCGTTTTGCTTGTAACTCACCAAGTCGATTTCCTTCCTGCATTTGACTCTGTTCTAGTGAGTTACTTTTCACTTCCTTTGCTTTTTTTCTATGTGGTAATAAAGATTTGCTCCAGTAACATTTTCACGTAGATTTAACCAGTTAGATGTGTTTCCACAGTTGATGTCAGATGGGGAAATCCTAGCTGCGGCTCCTTATCATCAACTGATGGGATCGAGCCGAGAATTCCAGGATTTGGTGAATGCACACAAAGAAACTGCAGGTTCTGAAAGGCTTGCAGAGGTTAGCTCTTCCACAAAGTGGATAACATCAATCAAAGACGTTACGAATGCTCGTACAAACAAAACATCTGGAGCATCCGGGGACGATCAATTGATCAAGAAAGAAGAGATGGAAGAAGGGGACACTGGTTTGAGACCTTACATACAATATCTAAGTCAAAATAAAGGCTACCTTTTCTTCTCCATAGCTGCACTCTCGCACGTTATCTTCGTGGCATGTAATGTATGTCAGAACTCATGGATGGCTGCAAATGTCGACAACCCTGAAATCACCACTCTGAAATTGATAGTCGTTTACTTAGCTATTGGGGTTACGGCAATGGTGTTTCTGCTCAGTAGATCACTCTTCACAGTTGCATTGGGCTTGCAGTCTTCAAAATCCATTTTTTCCCAGCTACTTATCTCTCTTTTTCGGGCACCAATGTCGTTTTATGATTCTACCCCTTTGGGTAGGGTACTGAGCAGGGTAAATGTTGCTGAAATCATATCTAATGTCCTTTTTAGCAACGATTCTTGAGCTAGCTAACCTTTGTTTTGCTCTTGTGTTTATAGGTCTCGGTTGATTTGAGTATTATTGATCTTGATATTCCGTTCAATCTTATATTTGCTCTTGCTGCCACCACAAATTTCTATTCTAATATGGGGGTGCTAGTCTTTGTTACCTGGCAAATCTTGTTTGTCTCGATACCTCTAGTTTATGTGGCACTTCGTTTGCAGGTAATTTATATTCCCTCCCTTCTGATAGATCTTTTTTTTGGAAGGGTGTCCTAGGCTATGCCTAGACTAATCACGGCAAATTGTGCCTGCAATAAATCAGCCCCGATAATTGTGGCTGCAATAAATTGGCCCTGATAAACTAAATGGCCACAATTGTTGTGTACCCCTGGAATCGAACCTTGGGCAGATGGGATATTCCAACATATCCCCCAGGACCTCAACCACTATGCCACAACCCTTGTGGTTCTGATAAATCTTTTCATACTTGTTTCTGTTTATAAATTTAGAATTTGATGAATCTGAAATGTACCATAAACAGAGATACTACTTCTCCTCTGCGAAAATGCTTATGCGGATCAATGGGACAACAAAATCTTTGGTGGCAAACCATCTTGCAGAATCTGTGGCAGGAGCCATGACAATAAGAGCATTTAAACAAGAAGATCGTTTCTTTTTGAAAAATCTTGATGTTGTTGACATAAATGCTAGTCCTTATTTGCACAGTTTTGCTGCTAACAATTGGTTGATTCAACGGTTAGAAACAATCAGCGCAACCGTTCTATCAGCTTCAGGACTCTGCATGGTGTTGCTTCCTCCTGGAACTTTTAGTTCTGGTGGGCTTTCTTTTTATTCCGAAATCTTGTAGTAAATTCATCTCTATGAGGTTTCTAACACAACATCGTCCAGGTTTCATTGGAATGGCGATGTCTTATGGGCTTTCCTTAAACATGTCCCTTGTTATGTCGATCCAAAACCAGTGCACGTTGGTAAACTATATCATTTCAGTCGAAAGGGTCAATCAGTACATGCATTTACCAAGTGAAGCTCCAATAGTGATCGAAAAGAATCGCCCCCCTACTAATTGGCCGAATGTTGGTAAAGTTGATATTCAAGATTTGCAGGTAAACTTCATACCCTTTTGCTGTTTCAGCGATTAGACACATAGAGGTTCCATCTTTACCAATAAAGAAAGAAAATTTTGAAAAACAGATTAGGTACCGACCCGATACACCTCTTGTTCTTCGTGGGGTCACTTGTACATTTCAAGGCGGACACAAGATTGGTATTGTTGGGAGGACTGGTAGCGGCAAAACTACTCTCATTAGTGCTTTATTTCGTCTGGTGGAACCCATTGGGGGGAAAATTGTTGTCGATGGGATAGATATTTCTACTGTTGGACTTCATGATTTAAGGTCACGATTCGGGATTATACCTCAAGATCCTACACTTTTCAATGGAACAGTTAGATATAATTTGGATCCCTTATGTCAACATACAGATCAAGAAATATGGGAGGTATATATGAGTTTCCTTTAGTGATTAACTCCCATATTTATGAAAATTGATACAAGATTCATCAGCATTAACCCTTTTGCATTTATGTTCCAATTTATGCTGTTTAAGGTTCTTGGAAAGTGTCAGCTTAAAGAGGCGGTTCAGGATAAAACAGGCGGCCTGGATTCGATAGGTAATGCATTCACAAAGTGATAAAAAGTTGGAACATGTATGCAAATTACTTCATTACCCGTGTTTCTCATGACAAATACAGTAAAACAAAGGGCATTTTAGTCTTTAGACAGGGTTAATTGCAGTAAACAAGGTTAGATAGAAACATGAATAAAGAGCATGTTTTGCAAACCATAAGCTACGTTATTTTTTGAGCTTATTGAAAAAATCTCGTTTGTTTAGTCATAAGTTAGTTTTTTGAAAAGCTACTTAAAGCAGCATTTCAATAGGCTTCATGGTTTTTTTTAAACTTTTATCCAAGTGTGCCCCTTATGTTCTTCCAATTAATTATGCAAATTGTCTTTTCAGGTCATTTTATATTGTCATCTAGCTTATCGTGTTGCTTTTACCAAACATGACTATCTTATTAGCCAACAACTAGCTTTACCGCTAAAGTTTTGTGATATTTTGAAGTATGGAGTTTTTGTTCTTTATGGCGATATAGGAAGTTTTGATTCTTTACTATGGCTTTTGCAAGTACAGTGGTCGAAGATGGAACAAATTGGAGCATGGGGCAACGACAGTTGTTCTGCTTGGGGCGTGCGTTGTTAAGACGTAGCAAGATTTTGGTGCTGGATGAAGCAACTGCATCCATCGACAATGCTACAGACACAATGTTACAAGAAACTATCAGATCTGAGTTTGCTGATTGCACCGTCATCACAGTGGCTCACCGGATACCAACCGTGATGGATTGTACCATGGTCCTAACCATGAGCGATGGTCAGATATTTACATCTTAATTTACAACTAGTTTTGAAACCCGTTTTCGAACTTCTAACCGTAAAAGATACAACTTCTGACAGGAAAAATAGCGGAATATGATGACCCGATGAAGCTGATGAGAAGTGATGATTCGTTGTTTGGACAGCTTGTGAAGGAATACTGGTCCCATTCTTAATCTGCAGAACTCCTTGAAGCCTTTATTTGACACTGATGTCCACCATTTGATTAAGAATGATCTTATTATACGCGAATAAAAACTTAGAGAGATGTATATATACATATATATATATATATATATACGCGTATGAATTCTTTCGACAACCCATGATCCTTTTGTAGGTTAACTTGGATCGGGGGGGTCGTTAAACCGTGCTCAAAATGTTCCTGTAACGATATTCACTTTAATGGTTAGTATTCACAATCTCGGAAAAGAGTGTATGAATGCTTTAATTTCAGTGTACAATTTGTGGATTTCGGTTCAGGTTTAAAAAAGGTTTGGTCGAATCGAATTCTGGCCAAACGCAATTCCAAGAAATCTTGGACTTGTAGCGCCATTCATCATGTAGCCCTCATTACCCCTAGTTGCCACCGACCCAAAACGCAAACTAAATGACGGGGGTGTGGGAGGTCATATATGAGCAACCGTAATGTACGTTTCGAGGTCCTTAATGAACCTTAATGGTGTGGTCGCCGATTTGTGACATGATCGTAGTTCTGTGGTCACTGGATTTGTGGTGTGGTGAGTGGAGGGTGGTCGCCGGAAAACAGGGGTGAGGGGAGGTCTGTTGGTGATTTTAATCAATCATTTGGTGTAATTATGATTTATTTGAGATCGATTGAGGCGATGGGGAAAACATACGTGAGTCAGGAGGTGTGGAGTGCACATTTACAAATGTTATTTCTATCACCTTAGATCGCTATAAAGCGGAGGGTTAACGGAGTCGCGCCACTGTTAGGGTCGTTGCCTCTAGGACCCCGCAAGGGGGCACGACCCTTTTGACCCCGTTTTTGACGATCTAAGGTGATAAAAACAACATTAATAAGCTAAAATCACCGAAATCAAATCTAGTCAAAATGACCATCTTTAGGCGAAATTGGCGATTTTAGATCTATGAAATCGTAGTACCAAAGACTATGTAGGCTCAAAGTTTGTTGACTTGGTTTATTTTTAAATCAATTTGTATTGTTTTTTTTTTATATTTATAATTTTTTTTAAAATAAGTACTACATATATTATATCATTACATTTCAGTTAGAATTGATTTCAACACTAATCAAAGCTTTTATAGTTCCTAGTTATGGGTGTCGAAACCGACACCGTGACTAAAATACTAACTCAAAAGCCTGTCTTTGTAGGTCAGCTCGAGCTTCGGTCGAGCATGATTGTTGTTCATCTCTAAATTTAACGATAATTTATTTTCCCATTAAACAATATATCGAATATAATATAATGTTTATTAAAAATATATTGAATATATTGATTTTTCTATAAAATAATTTGATGAAAAATAAATGAAGAAATTGTATGCATGAGTTAATTATGTTTTGTAGTGGGGTATTGTATTCCACAAGGTTAGGCAACCATTTTGTTTTGGTGTTCAAATGTCTATCGAGTGATGGTATTCATTTAATCAGTATCTTTCAAATCTGTTTCTTATGGATATAATTATAATATTTTATTTATATTTATATTTGTTATTTATTTTAATAAAATAAAAGAAGAGAATTCGAGAACAACCGTCTTACGTTGGGGTGCTTAAAAACCCGACCAACCTAACTCAATCCAATGCGAAATAACTCAACCCAAAACAGCTCGATGTCTAATCGAGTTGTAAAATCTTCGAACCGTAGGTATTGGGTTTCTATTATTTGAACTCAACCCAACCCGATATCCTTTTATTTCTTGGATTGAATATGATTGTTGAATTTCTATTAATATATATATATATATTAGATAATTACATTATTATGTACGCTTTTCATATACGCATATTTTCAATTTATTCACATATCTATATAACTCATTCGTATATATGTTTAGTAACAGAGAATATATATATATATATATATAAATATATATATATATAGAGAGAGAGAGAGAGAGAGGTTGGTTATTATACAACCCTTGACATTTGTGCAACCAATAGAACTCAATCTCAACCGTCCATTTCATTTGATTAATATGTGATTTCATAAAAAAAATTATTGTTTCCTAATATAAAGTATCGATCATAATTAATGAACCATATTCATCTTCCATAAATATTCAAATCATAATAAATGAACTCTCGTTATTTTCTTAAATATCTCAATACATTGGGTTGCATTGGTTGTACAAATGCGATGAGTTGTATTTGAACCAAACTCTCTCTCTCTCTATATATATATATATATATATATAAATTGATAAAATTAACTGAATGTGATGTACGTAAGACGTATGAATAAGTTCTACCAAATGGTTGATGTTGAAAAAGAAATTATGAGTAGATAAATAACACATTTAAGGTTAAAAGAATATTTTAATGTACCAATCTGACAAACCCGTACGGTTTGGGTTGGGTTGCACTTTGCTTTTCGTTGAGTTGGGTTATGGTTTTTCAAACCGCAAACATTGAGTTGAGTTGTTAAAATGTCTTCAACCCGATTAACTCAATTCATAAGCATCCCTAGTCTTACGTTTGTATGTACCTTTAACGTAACCACTTTTTACGAATATATATGATTTATGTTGGTATTAAAGTTAATATTAAAGAGGGTGATTTCAATCTCAAAGTGATTGTTTTAAGATAAGTCATGGTTCAACTTGTTGGTTTAAGTTATTTCAAAATAAATATCTATGACTATAATAAAAGTGATATATAATTTATGAACGTTTAATCATTATCCTTTTTTAAATAATCAATATACTTATTTTTAAGACAAACTTAATAAGACTAAATTAATGTAATTTATAACTTATTCAGTTAATTATATATGATTGTTTGATAGTGACTTAATAATATAGAAATGACTTATTCAATAAGTTTATTGAGAAATTTTATCCAAAAAATTAAGTTTTTCCAAAACTTATTCCTTTTAATTACAAAAACATGTAACATTCATTTATGAAAAAATATTTTAAATAAAACCTTCTTAATCTATACAGACGATTAATTCATATGAACAACTTTATTGATACGTGATTTAATGAAAAACAAATCAAGAACCGTGATTGCGGATGTTTTGGTCGGAAAATCACTTTTTTAAATCGAAAAAGAAAAAATTAAATGCTTGGAAACCGTAAATGATAAGGTTAACACCTAAGAATGACACGTGTTCAATTTTGAATTTTCATTACAATTGCGTAACTAACGACTTTTCGAAAGACTAATTTTCCACACGAGAACCAGGAGTTTCAACATCATTTACCCGCCAAACACGCCACTTCACATCTATAAATTCCCGATATCTCTCCATCTCCGATCACCAAATCGGAGAAAAATGGCATCACACTCATCGGCATTCCTCCTACTCCTCACCCTCCTCGCCATCTCTTTCTTCAAACCCTCACAATCAGCCGGCATCGCCACTTACTGGGGCCAAAACTCCGGCGAAGGAAGCCTAACCGACACCTGCGCCACCGGAAACTACCAGTTCGTAAACGTAGCTTTCTTGACCACCTTCGGCGATGGCCAAACACCCGTTTTAAACCTAGCAGGTCACTGTGATCCTGCTTCCACTTGTTCCAGTTTAAGCTCCGAGATAAAGTCATGCCAGGATCAAGGTGTCAAGGTGTTTCTTTCTTTAGGAGGACAAAACGGACGTTACATCCTATCGTCACCTGAAAACGCACAGGAGGTTTCCGACTACCTATGGAACAACTTTCTCGGTGGCCAGTCGAATTCCCGGCCGTTGGGAGACGCTGTTCTGGACGGAATCGATTTCGATATCGAAACTGGGACGGGTCAGTTCTGGGATAATTTGGCTAAGGCGCTGGCTGCACACAGCTCGGAGAAAAAGGTTTATTTGTCGGCAGCGCCGCAGTGTCCGATTCCGGACGCCAATTTGGACGCTGCGATTAAAACCGGATTGTTTGATTATGTTTGGGTGCAGTTTTACAATAATGGGCAGTGTGAATATGGTGCAAATGCTGATGCTTTATTAGCTAGATGGAATGAATGGACTCAGGTGAACTCGCCGCAGATCTTTTTGGGTGTGCCGGCGGCTACCGAGGCTGCCGGAAGCGGGTATATTCCGCCGGATGTTCTTACGTCTCAGGTTCTTCCAAAGATCAAGGGTTCTCCCAAGTATGGTGGAGTTATGTTATGGAACAGGTTCTATGATAAACAAAATGGATACAGTGATGCTATCAAAGGCAGTGTTTGAGTCTATACATATATTATATAGTTATGGTGAGGTGCTGATTTGTTGTCTGAATAAGTTCATATCTTCTGGATATGGTGTTTGTTTCTAGCAGCCGCGTTTATGATAATGATATCAGTCAATAAAATGGTTATAGTTATTTTATTTTAATAAATTTCTTTTTCTTTTTTCCATGCCACTGCCAGTCTGTCATTTTTCATTATATTTAGTATACATTTAAAAAGATAACGTATAATCATTTAAATTAATATATTTTAAAAAAATGATCAATTAAGCCATTATATAAACCTCGTTGTCTAAACATTCATTACGTTTTTGTTACCATCAATTATCATCTACCATTTTCTCAATCGATTTTTCAATCACGTGCATCGTTAATTATCATGTTATATAAAATTTTATATATATAAGTTTATATAGGGTTGGGTTCATGTGAGAACAAAAGTTTTTTCGTGAGATCCGTAAGACCAATTCATGTTCATTGATCAACTTTATAAATTAATGATCTAACGGTCTAAATATATATAGAATAAAGTACTATCAATTTATGCAAGAGATTCAAAAATCTCTTAAGTACAAACTATTATGCATAATGTACAAATGCTTAAAACATACTATTTGTTTGGTCAAAATTTCAGATCTAAATAAACTATATTTACATGAAAAAGGTATGTTTGGTCTTCTCAAAATTGTTTGACACTTTGTTTGATTATTATTTTGTTTATATAAGACAACAAAAAAACAAATGATTACCTATGATATAAAAAATAATAAAATAATTAAACATTTATTCATATAAATAATGATTAAAAAAGTAACAAAAGAGAAAGGGAAAAAAGGGAATTAATTAATAAATTGTATAAACTAAATTATAATACAAATATTTAAGTAACAAACGTCAAAACTAAAACCATTAATTATGTCTCAAATTCAACTGTAAACCAAATGCAAACTTGTAGTTTTTTTCTTTGGAGAATATGAACCTAAAACGAAGCTATTCTAAGTTTGAAAAGAAAACCCTAAAAAAGTATGTCTGAAAACAGATTTGAATTTAACGAGTTTTCATACATTTAATTAGTTTAATCATGGTTCGGTTTCTCGACGGTGTAAGTGCAGGGATAAATTTAGTAAGGCGGGACTACAGTCACGTGCCACTAGGACCATCCCAATCTTTTTTGGATGCCTATATAAATTTTCTTTTCATATTTAAAATGACAAAGTGAGAAGAACATCAAAGAATCGTTTTGGTTTTTGATCGAAAAAATCTTAAATTAAATAGCAGCTTTTTTTATATAAATAAATTAGATATATTTTCATTGAAGTGTGTTCACATGTTGGGCTATATAAATTTGGGTCAGGAATCCAAGTGAAGGTAACATTGCATCTTCAACAACTATGTTAAAATGGAGCAAACAGAGATTTTAGCAATTTTTTGTTTCAACAACTATGATATCTTGTATGTTAAAATTGAGAAAAGATGAGAGATATAATAAAAAATCTTTAAATTTAAAGGAATATTTAAATAGAGAGAAATTATTATTCTAATAATAAAAGATATTGAAAGTAAACGTTTAGAAAAAATAATTATATTTTATTAAATGTATTACATATTTTAATAATATAGTTAATATTAGAATTGTTAAAATAAAGTATAGGTTAGATTTAAACTTTTTCTTAAAGATTTTTTACTTTTAACATTTTATTTAAAAAAATATAACATAATTATTAAATACTTTTAAAATTATTAAAAAACCAAAATTTAACATGACAATTGAGAATATCTTGACCTTAGCGGCTGTTTGACAGTTGTTAGTGGTCAGAATGATTAAAAAACTCTCATTATATAGTATAAAATAAAATATAATTATTTATAATAAAATTAAAACGTTGAAAGGTCTAAACAAACTCATGATATAAAATCATATAGAGAGTTTAATGGTATTTAGTAACCATTAATGCTCCTTTTGAATTTTGTACACAAATTCTAGTGCCACACCAGCGACTTTTCAAAATACCCAGTTTTCCACACAAGAACTAGTTTTTTCAACAAATGGGCCACTACATTTCACTTCCGGCCACACACCTATAAAATTACCTTCCAACAACTCCAAATACAAATCGGAAAAAATGGCGTCCGGTTATTCAACATTGTTCCTACTCCTTTCCTTATTTGCCATCTCTTTCTTCAAACCCTCACAGGCCGCCGGCATTGCCATTTACTGGGGTCAACGCATCGACGAAGGAACCCTAGCCGACGCCTGCGCCACCGGAAACTACCAGATCGTAAACATAGCTTTCTTGAACACCTTCGGCAACGGCCAAACACCCGTTCTAAACCTAGAAGGCCACTGTGATCCTGATTCCACTTGTTCCGATTTAGCCTCCGATATACAAGCATGCCAGAGTCAAGGTGTCAAGGTGTTTCTTTCATTAGGAGGATACGTCGGAACCTACTCTTTATCGTCACCTGAAAACGCACAGGAAGTTTCCGATTACCTATGGGACAACTTTCTCGGTGGCCAGTCGAATTCCCGGCCGTTTGGAGACGCTGTTTTGGACGGAATCGATTTCGATATCGAGTCTCCCGGCGAGTTCTGGGACGATCTGGCTACGGCACTGGCTGCATACTCCTCGCCGAAAAAGGTTTACTTATCTGCAGCGCCGTCGTGTTACACACCGGACCCTAATCTGGACGCGGCGATCAAGACCGGATTGTTTGATTACGTTTGGGTGCAGTTTTATAATGATGAAAATTGTCAGTATGGTGAAAACGCTGATGCTTTATTGGGTAGATGGAATAAATGGACGAGTGAGACGAACTCGCCGGAGATATTTTTGGGTTTGCCGGCGGCTACGGCAGGTGCCAACGGCGGATATATACCGCCGGATGTTCTTACGTCTCAGGTTCTTCCAGAGATCAAGAGGTCTCCGAAATATGGTGGAGTTATGCTGTGGAATAGGTTCTTCGATCAACAAAATGGATACAGTGATGCCATCAAAGACAGTGTTTGATTTAAAAAGATAAATATATATATATATATATATACATAGAGGGTTGGATTCATGTAAGATCAATATGTTTTCGTGAGACTCATAAGACTGTATTTTTACACTTGAAATTTCACAACAATACATTGTGAAGACAAAAAAAATCTGAACTTCCACAGCAAATTTCAAGTGTAAAAAGATGGTCTTACAAATCTTACGAAAACAAGCTGATCTTCAATAATGTCAAATATGTATATATATAGTTATGTGATGTATTAATAAGTTCATATCTTGTGTATGATGATCATATGATCTTTGCAGCAGCTCCATTTATGACGATGATATCAATCAATAAAATAATTATGTATTTTACGGGATAAAATACTTAAAATAGCAATTTAATATTATAAATTTTCTTACTAGATGATTGTGTTTTCTTATTACTTTCAATTTTTTTTAATTAAGGTCTTGTATTTTGAAAAGTTTATCGATTATAGAATCGGGTAACATGTAACCTTTTAAATCGGTTATCCTAAGTCGACGTATCATACTTAAAATGATGTGAAAAACATATGTTTACGTGTCATAGAAAAACTTATTTCAAACATCATTTTTGGAAACAAAATGCTTTCCCTCAACCACTCCCGACTCTTCCAATTCTCATCCGAAAAACATCGACTCTAAACCCTCGCTTGTCTCCCTCGTTGTCGTCTCCTATGTGGCTTTTCTATAAGTAATTTTTAATTTTTGATCAGGTTACATATGTGATTTTCTTTATATCATCTCTTGATTTTGGTTAAATAGCAAAACCCAATCAATAAAGTTTAGATTTTAATCAAAACGGTGAATCGATCCCAATAACACTCATATCATTTAAGATGGTGAAATGGGAAAAATTGACATCCCAATTCTTCCAATTGGAACCGGTGTTCAAAAAAACTCACTGCAATAATCGTTATGATTTAAAACTCGTCTCTCACGTCACGTTATGATTATGGCATGTCATGACGTACTGTACAGTTTTTGTAACGTAATATTTGATCTTTCTTACTTTTTGTAATATATTATTTATTAATTTATAATGTATAACCAAATTTAATTATTTAATATCATTGACTTAGTAAATAATAGTATATATTATATGTTTATATGTATAATAATTTATATGATATAATGATTTGACATCATAAATCACGTTACGAAAAACACCGCATTCTCATCGTGACTTCTAAGGCTTGAGGCTTTAAAAAATGGGTTCACCATTTGTGCTTCAATAACTAGCGCCAAGTGGCACCATAGTTCAAGACGAGGCTCAAACAAACGACTTAAAAGATGCAGTCGATCATAACCAAGTGAGCAAACCGCGGTAGATGCAAACTATCATGAGTTCAGTGGTTTGTAAATCAATAAAAAAGTAAAGGTAAAAAATGTTTAATTTCTCAAATTATATTTTTAATGAATATGTTTTATTAAATATATAATATTTAAATAATAAAAATTATTAGAGCTAAAAATATAATGTTGTAATTATTTCGAGAAAAAAAATACAATATTGTAACCAGAATTGGTGATTTTATAATAAATTAATTTTAACTTTGTTTTATTTAAGTTGGTTTTATTTCAATACAATTTTTCGTTAATTAAATAGATAACATTAACATCTCATGGGTAGAATAGGTTTAATACATGTCACTCATATGTGTTATTTACAATGATATTTACCATAAAGAAGAGAGTATAATCGCTTCTCAATAATATCTGAATTTATAATTGTTGTATTTTTTTTCTCGTTAAATATTAGTTTGGCGGAAGAAGTAGGTGATATTGATGCCAATCTTGGACTTGGACTCTAAAACAACACATTTTCCACATAAAACCTATTTTTTCAACAACAATTTTCGGATGACAATTACGTTATAAATTTTCCACTCTACAAATTTGTTACGACGTTCTAATCGTACGTCTAGGTGTCAATTCGTTGCCATGATCATCATTTGGAGATGCAAGTTTTGGACAAAGTCGACTTTGACATAGAAGTGACAAGGTGAATGGTGATGGCCTCCAAGTTGTCGGTGTTCTCAAATAAAATAAGGGGTTGTTTGACAGTTACTGAATGGTTTGATGCAAAATAATTAAGTGGTCAAAATGAAATTAAGGTGTTGAATGGTTATGAGATGCCCAAGAAACAAAATCATTTAGAGAGTTTAGAACCATTAAGAAGCAGATTTTTTTTTTTTGGCCAAACAAGATTTAACTCTTAGATGGTTTTTTTGTTTTTTAAAAGGTGCTGAAGTCTGAATTCAATTCTGATTTTTAAGATGTGGTGCTGAAGTCTGAAATCTGAATCAGTCAGACTGTTTGTTTTTTGCGTCTGAAATCTGAAGTTTGAAGATGAGAGATCGAGAGTTGATATAGATCGACATTTGACAGAGTTGAGAGATGAGATATCGAGACAGAAGAGTTGATCCAGAGAAATCGAGCGCAAAGAGATCAGAGTAGGTATGTGACGATTTGAAATAAGAGGTAATAAGAGGTTTCACAACCATTGAAATTTTCAGACGTAATAAGAGCTTTTAAGCTCTTAATTGGAAAAAAAAAACAAACACACTGAATCCTCTTATGTCTGACCGATTCAGACTTAAGAGGACATTAAGAGCTTTTTTATTAAAAACAAACAGCCCCTTAACGATTCAGATGCTGCCTCTTAATGAAACTATTAAAAGGTAAACAAACAACCCCTAAAATATAGAATAAACTACAAATTTGATCCATGTAGTTTGTCAAAAAAATTACACTTTTTAACCTTGTAGTTTCAAAATTACAAGACGATCATCATTGTTTGCTAAAAACATCGAAATTTGGTCCATTTCTCTAACCGACGTTAAGTGAGGGGCACTTTTGTCATTTCATTGATTTTTTTGTGTTTTACACAATCAAAATTGATTTTTTGATTTTGGTCCCCGTGATTTCTGATTGGGTAAAAGAAAAAAAATAGAGAGATCAAATCCATACATTTTTTACAAACTATGATAACTGTCTTGTAATTTTCAACTATAGAAATAAAGTGATATTTTCAACAAATCAGAAGTACCAAATTTGATATAAATTTTCAAAACTATGAAGCTTCTAGAACAAGGAAAAGTATTACCGTTTTTCTTTTTTGGTATAAATTTTTTATTAAGATGATATAATATAGTAATAATAATATCAATTTTTTTAATACTATCCACATTACAACTAACTGATAAGTTAGTTGATTGCTAATAAATTAGATGATGAAATAATTATGTTTGATAAAAACTAGCTTATAAACATGTAAAATTAACAAAAACGATATCCTGAAACTATAGTCAATTACAAATATTTTATAATATAATTAAAATAAATTTATAATAATATAATATGTTAATTAATAAAAACAAGAGAGTAAAAAAGTTAAATAATATAATATGTTAATCGAAAGAATTTAAAATCGATTATTATATATATACTATAAATTTTAAATTTGCTAAAACAAATTTTACAAAATAAACCTACTTTAATCTTGATTTTAAATAACCACTACATATAACATAAATCGAAATAAAATTGGTCAACCTCACATATTATAATTAATTAATATTTTCTAAAAAAAATATAACTAATAAATAAACTAAGTATTTTATTAAAATTATTTAGGGGTGGGCTAAATGCACCTCTATGCATTGCTTAATGCACCCCTACCTATGAATTTCTTTCTCACACACATCAATATCAATACATGCTTTTTACATTTCCAATGCTTGAATGACCTGATTCTGACATGAAAGGGGGTGCCATTAGCACTCCCCATTATTTAACATATTTTAATTATCTATGAAATAAAATAAGTATAACTTAAATTTTATATAACTTAAATAAATATTTTTAGAATTGTTATATTTGTTTTTTTTATAACTAGATATATTGAATAATAATTTAAAAATAACTGATATAATTAATAATAGAATTGTTATATTTGTTTTTTTTATAACTAGATATATTGAATAATATATTAAAAATAACTGATATAATTAATAATAATTCTTGATTAAAATTANAATTACTATAAATTGATATTTATGAATAATTAATATTTATTTATAGTTAATAATAATTAATAATTAATGTTTATTTATAATTAACAATAATTAATAGTAATAAGGATCAACATTGAAAACGTGTCAAAAAAAAACTCTTCATTGACTATTTCAAGTAGCTCATTTGTAAACTAGCTTATAAGCTACTTTATGTGAATCCAAATTATTACTCAAAAATTAAGCAAAATTATGTTTGCCAGATTATGCCTAAGTGACAGCAAAAATGACATACGTAAGCTGTGGCACAATAGTGGTGCAAGTGGACACCACTATTAACTTCACTTTTTCAAGTGATACTATGGTAAGTTTCAAATATCGTTTTTCACATGGACTGATCTACTATGAATCTGAGATTTTTACGAACCTTCGGTGCAAAATTAGAGTTTATAAAAATGATTTGTTTTGGGTAGAATACTGACATCTTAAAAATAATGATTAATAAAAAGCGGGTACGGGTATAAGTTTTATCCGAGAGTATAATAGTAACTTAAATGGTTGATAAAACCAGTCATATAATAATCCCATTCAATTTCCTCCTCTCAAAAGTTGTATCGTATGGTTTGCGATTACAGTTTTCTCATAAAGTTTCCACAAATGCTAACTTTCGGTTTGCCAACTGTACTAATTAGATCTCACAGATCTTAGTTCTACCACCAACTCGACCGACATCTGATCCTTAGTTCGTTTATGCAAAAACCCATATCTCTATGCGATTATTGAAGATTTTCTCAAACCTCATTGCATCATTTAAGTCGTATTTGGATCCGTTTATCTCTGAATCAAAGATCTAATATTAACACTTACAAGCGATTGACTTGTTTGCATTGAGTTAAAGTTTCAACTCAAATGGCCAAACCGAAGGGTTAGCAAAAAGTGGTAACACCCAAGTGTTACATTTTGAACTCTCGACTTGACTTACACCCACACCCACACCCGGGGGGGATTTAGTTACTGCTCATAAGATTATACATAATAAATGAACAAAAATACTCACACATAAATTGCATTAAACGTAAATTTGTCATTGAGGTCAGATCCCATAGGACGAAGAGAAATGTTCCAAATGAATTGTACAAGTCCTCTTTGTATAGGTGAGGAAGAAAGAGAGGGTGAAAGAGACTTGAGAGGGAGAAAGTGGCATCTCACTATTTGTTTTCTTCCTTAAAGGCTTAAACTTGTCTCATTTCTCTTCTTTTTCATGAAAGCTTCAGCCTTGACTAAATGGGCAACCTGCGTCCTCTTTCAATATTTTGGCAATAAATCCTAAAAATATATTTTTGTATAGCTCCAACCACTGCTCATCACAGCGGTGACTCGCTACTATGACTTAAAAATGCTAAAATCCGACTTTTTAGTTATTTCTTAACTTTATGACTGATTTAGACCAAAGAGATATTAGAAGGCTCAAATGGGTATTTGGGTTGGTAGAAGGAGTAAAAACGGGCTAAAAGGATGACAAATAACTCTTAAGAGATGAGGGTCATCACTAAGTGTCATAAGAAGATTTTATAAAATTTAAATTACAAGACCGAAAAATTGTGCGTCCAATATAAAAGCACTGAAACAAGTGATATTGAAGAATTTAAGGGTTTTAACAAGTTTTTTACCAGACACTTTTATGAACACATATTTTTATAAGATCCTCGATTTTATAAAACACTTTCCCAAACGATATCATATAAAAATTAATTGGACCATTTATTTCAAAAATATTCTAATTCTTTTGTTAAGATGCCTAAAAATGTCTTATAAACTTCTTGCAACGTTTTTACATGACACACAATTATTTGACATTAAACATAAGGTCAATAAAGTATTTTTATTAAGATATTTAACCATTTATGACGTCATATAAATCTAAATTTATCGGTGCAATGTATGGAATATATTATCTATTACTTTCACATATAAAATTTATGCGATGATTTTTTTTATTATGTTTCATTTTACTATCTAAAATATATATTCATATTATTTAAACAATCGGTAACCAAATTCTAATAGACGTGTTAAAGATTGAATACATAAGTCAAATAACTAACATCACTATCATATTCTGGGACGTTTTCCAAACAATCTAAATTTCAACTCCAGATGAACCTAAGACTTCAAAATCATACATTTTTTCCATACCGACAATGTCTTATAATTAAGTGTCGTACTATTTAGAGTTGGTTTCATGTGAAATCAGTCTATTTCGTCAAACTCGTTAAACCATAAATAACATTAAAACTTCACAGCAAAACATTGTGAAAGTATAAAAAAACACTAACCTTCGTGCTGTGAAGGTTCAATGTAATTTTGTTGGTCTCACGAGTCTTATATTACTCCAAGTTTCGTACTATTTTTTTAATTTCCCACCCATGGGCCATAGGATAACGGTTTTCAACCAAACATTTAGGGATTGTTTGGCAGTTGTTGAATGGTTTGGTATGATTAATTTGTTAGAATGATTAAGAGACTCTCATGATATAATGCAAAATAAAAATATAATTGTTTAGTAATAATTTACAATGAAATTAGGGCGCTGAATGGTTAAGAGAGACCCATAATACAAAATCATTTAGAGAGTTTTAAAACCATTAAGAGACAGATTTTTTTTGCCAAAACAGATTCAACTTTTAACAGTTCTGATGTTGCCTCTTAATGGAACTATCCATTTACATTAATCGCAACGCTTCCAAGATAAATGCTTATTCATCTCATGTGTTAGGCATGTGATATATCGAAACGAAATTCTTATGTGGCAGTTAGCAGTTAGCACTACACAAACCCACAAATATAATTCTGTTTCTGGACTGGACTTTACTTTTGGGCCCAATATGGACTTACACCTCATTTTTCTCGTAAACCTGTTTGGGGAAATAAAATCGGTTTTATTTTATTTTATTTTATATTTACGGTAATTATTTTGTATCACTGTAGTCCATAGATATAAATTCAAAGTAATTACAAAGGTGCTGTAGTAGATTCATTGGTGATCTAAATAACGAAAGAACAATAAACAACAGATGGAGGTTTTCTGATGAACACATGAATGCTTCTATAAACTCAGATAACGACTCAAAAGTTTGTAAAAACTAATAGAATTTTGCTATCTGATACATATTCAAGAAACTGAACTGCAAATTCATCAATGGCAGACGAGCAAGTTGATAGCACAAAAACAGGACTAGAAAACAAAATGAAACAGACGCTAATCGTAAATAATCAATCTTCAATCTTTCATCATCTCTTTTATACCTTTCTGACCTGAATATTATGGGTGGATTGAAATCGCCAGATTGGTTGTTTCCCACTCTGAAGCAGAGCTACATGCTCACCTTCCTTCATCATCCCTTGATTCTGTTGTACACATTCAGTCAATTTCATTTTCAAGAACGGACTTCCTAAATTGGTAACAATAATTTGATACGACCCTTTTAGACGTTCTAATAAGTTTTTAGTATACTTTTAAAATAAAGTGTCGTATTAGTCTTTTTATATGACATTAGTTGAACAAATGTCATATAAAGAAGTGTGAACGGTTCTTAAAAATGTTCTACAGGAAAGCTAATAGCACATTTTATTTCAAAAGTGTCCTACAAAGTTTGTTAGACTGCCAGAATCGTCATGTCAACTTATTGCTACACTTTTACATAGGACAAACAATTATTTGGTTCTATAAACTTTAAGTCTTATAAAGCAGCCTATTAGGACATTTATACATATTTAGCGACATATAAAGCCAATTTTCCGTTGTGATATGCTAGAAATTGATTAAAACAATGGGTGGATCTCACCTTCAACACAGCAAGAGCATTTGCAAAGGTTTCTTCAGAATCCTCTGAGAACTCCATGTAAATGGGGCAGACTCCTTGATACAAAGCCAATTTCTGTTGTACCCTTTTCCTGTTACATTATTAAAAATGGGTAAGAAAACCAGCAGAAATAAGCCCATCTTCAGAAAACTAACAAAATTAAGTTCTGGGCCAGGACTTACTCATCTGTGAAGGCAAATATAGTGCCATTTGGTCGATAATGGCTCAGTATGACAGCCATTGTACTAGTTCTAGTGAATACCACAATTGAAGTTCCAAGAGTATTGGACATTGATGTGGCATGGTATGCAAACATTTCACTCATATGATTCTGCAGATAACAGAACAGACGGCTCAGTAAGCAGGGTTCATAGCACCAAGAAAATATTAAACAAAATCATAAATGTTTTTCTAAAGAAATAGGTAGTCCACCTTGTAGGCTTGATTAAGACTAGATACTGTGCCACCACCCATTATGCTTGATTCAGTTCTTAACGACACTGTGTGCATTACGTTAACAGCTTTTAGGGGAAACCTGCATAGCAAGAAAAACGAAATCAGACAGATTTTTCTTGAAGAAATTGTATCAAATATTGTGTTCTTGATATCAGCAAACCGAATAAATGAACTGTTGAAAGATGTTTAGAAAAAGGCTTACTTTCCATGAGCAGTTTCTCCAGAAAGCATGACTGCATCAGCGCCCTCTCTAACAGCAATAGCAATGTCGGATACCTCTGCTCTGGTAGGTGTAGGATGAACGATCATGCTTTCAAGCATATTAGTTGCAACAATAACAGCTTTTCCCATGCTACGGCACATCCTGATTATCTCTTCCTAATGAAAGTAATTTGATTGAATCCAATCACCATTAGTACTTAAATGCATGAACTCATGATTTTACTAGTGTTCAGATCACTAAGCAGCAAACACTAAAACAAAATTGGCTTTATAGGACACTAAATATGTCTATATATCCTAATAGACTACTGGTATAAGACTTAAAAGTTTATAGGACCAAACGACTGTGCATCCTATATAAAGGTGTTACAATAGTTTAGGAGCATATTTGAGTATCCAAACAAGTCTTTAGGACAATAGGACACTTTAAAAGAACAATGACACTTTATTTTAGAAGTGTCCTAACAAACCTGTTAGGACGCCCAAAAATGTCCTGTCAACTTATTGCAACACTTTTACATAGGAAGCGCTATTGTTAGGTCCTATAAAACAGTCTATTATAAAGCCGATTTTAGTTATAGTGAGATAACAAGCCTTTACCTGCAACAATGGAACCTCTTCAATAGGCAGCTCTGCACCAAGGTCCCCTCTTGCCACCATTGCCTGAGAAAAGCAAAACAACACCAAGATCCCAATTAACAAACTTTCAAATGTCACTTAAAGGAAAAAGAAACAAGAATGAAGATGAAAACAGTAAATTTACCCCATCAGATGCTGTGATAATTGAATGCAAATTTGGTATGGAGTCTGCGCTTTCAATTTTTGGGATAACTTGAATATCCGCACCACAGCCTGCCAAACAGTCGCAAGGTAGCAATAGAAGTTATAACTAACAGAACTTGAAGTATAAAGATCCTCATAAAGTTACAGTTTTATATGCTTACTTTTTAGATAGTTCTTCAACTCATGGATAACTTCTGCATCTTTAACAAAAGAAACTGCATAGAAATCAACTTGATTGTCCACACCAAATTTGATATCATCCCAGTCCTTTTCTGTTTCAGAATAATATAATCGATTAAATTCTTTAAAAAATGACAAATGTACATTGCCGTCATGGAGGTTGTTACAGTTATTGAGTCTAACCAGTAATAGATGGTAGAGTTGCACTTTTTCCTCGGACATTTAGATGACGTCTAGACTTGAGCTCTCCGCCATCCACAACTTCACATTTTACTGAATCTTCTGTCTTGGACTTCACCAATAGCGACATCATACCACCTAAAGGTAACCAAAAACTTGCAATGATTAGAAATAAGATGATAAATATTAAAATTGTTATCTTGAAAGTAAAAGCTCATATACCATCAACAAGAAGCATGTCACCCGCTTCTACATCATTCACAAAATCATCGTAGTTGACACTAACACAGTCCGCAGTGCCAACGCCTCTTTTTATTGTGAAAGTGAATTCTTGACCACTTATTAAGTTAACTGGTTGTGGCAAGTCTCCACTCCTGACCTCAGGACCCTGCCGGAAAGTAAAGAAGTTAGTTTAAAGGTATGACAAATTGATAGATGTCATTTTATGCAAAGAAGAAACCTGCCTTTGTGTCGAGCATGATTGCAATGACATTATCTTTGGATTGCGCATTATATTCTTTAACCAGATCAATGACTTTTTGATGAGAAGCATGATCTCCATGGGACATGTTCATTCTTGCAACATTCATCCCAGCCTCAGCTAGCTTCCATATCATTTCTTTAGTGTTGGTGGATGGACCGATTGTACAAACAATTTTGGTCTTGCGCTTAACTATGGGCTTCGACCACATACCCTTTGAAGATGGTAAAACTTCCTTTGATTGATACATTTGCTCTTCAATCTAATTACACAAATATGAGTTAATGTAGGTCCGAGTGCCTGCCTCCATGGCAGGGGCAAGTAACCAAAGCAAGCTTAATTCTGTAACACAAGATACCATTTAGACAATATAACTAATATCCTTGCAGTTCCTATACGATTTTCCAAATTCAAACCTAATCCTTTTCAGATTATGCCTATTCTATAGGTTAATGTGGTTATCATAAGGATTCATATCAATTCTCAAACTATAACATGTGAGAGATTAGTAATTTTGACATCAATAATCGAGTTGGAGCTATTGTAATTTTGAATTAGAAATAGTAAATGTGTACATGCATACAAACAACGATTATTCGGTTTAAGCCTGAATCAAATGAAAAGGCAAAAGGAAGTGAAGAAATTTTACAAAACCTTGGGCACATCTTCGGGTGTAACAGGAACAACCTGGAGGTCCGCAGCTCTCCTTGCGGTGACGGTAAGAACACGGTGGTGGCTGGGGCTAATCCGGCCATTGTAACTACTCAAAACTTTTGAAGCGAAACCCGAAGGCTTGATCTTCTCAATCTGACTGTTAAGAGATCCAGAAGAGGCAGTGCTAACGAATGAATTGTGAAGTAACTTGGTAGCCACTACTTGCGCCATTGTTGATGCTTGAAAATTGAACAATCACAGTGATTTGTTGGAGAAGAAATGAAATCAAAGTGAGAGATAGAAGGAGGTGAATGAAGATTATAAAGCTTGGGCGATATTTTCTGAGGGAAGGTTGTGATTGTCGAAATCGATGGTTGATTTGGAAGCTACAACAATGGAGGCTTCCTCGTGTATATCGAAACAGGTGGAGTAGTTGCTTTGGCTAGCTGACTGTTACTACCGGTTCAACTCTATTTATTTTAGGTAAACTGAAAACCGGTACGGTCCAATTCGTAATTAGTTGGGCCTAATTTTTATTCCAGTTCATCAACCATTTCAAAATTAACCCAAAAAAATCTCTAGGAAGTAGAAACAAAAGTATTTGGAGCATCTTTAAAAGATTCTCCAATTAAAAAAAAATCAAAATGTCAGATCTTTAAACAAAATAATAATTTAATTTTAACTGATTATTTATTTCAAGATTACGATATTTAATATATTATTGTGATATTTTGTTTATACAATAAAATATTAGTTCTTTCCAAACAATTTAATATTAATGATTTTTAATGATGGAAATATGATAAAAAATGATTTTTCAATCACAATAATTATTTTTGTAGAGTTATTTAGATTTAAAGAATTTTATATTATTTTTCTTATTTTATTCATTTTGAAAATGTTGTTCTTTTTTGGAGCATTTTTTTTATCCAATCATTTAAAAATCATAAAATTAATGAAATCCATCAGAAGTTATTAATTTAAACTTAATTAATGTTATTAATTAGTAAGATAATTATAATTATTTATTAAATAAAAATTAATGTATTTTCTAAGAAATTTCATATATATTTAATTCTCTCTCCGTTATATACACCCCATTTAGTTTTATTGTTTTAATCGGTGTTCAGAATTGTTAAAGTGTGTTTATAATATGTTAATATTTAATTATATATGTATACGTTTATATTATAAAGAGAGGAGATAGGAAAAGAAAAGTTGGGGAGATGTTTTTTATTTATATTAAATTTTATTTTATTTTTATGCTTGAAATTAAATTTTACGAATTAAAGTTGATAAAATAAGTTCCCGTGTTTGATATTAAGTCATATTTAGGATGGCTTTATCTATACTATATTATAAAACATTTGGCTAAAACTCTTAAAAACTCTTAAACTCTTAAAGCTCT